TTGTTCCTACTTAATGGGGTCTAGCTGTGTCTCTGTTAAAAATAAAAAAGGAAAATCCGTAATGTCATTTGATGAACACACCCACCCATTTCCACGTTTCAGCGGAAAAATAGCCCAGTGTTAAAGAAAACCTGGCTGTGAACACATTATTGAAAATGGTACAACAAATATCTAGGTATATTTGTTTTTGGAAAACTATACACTGTTGATGCAAAAACGCATGACTTTACAAACTGTAGGGTTAACTATACACCAAATTAGTTGATACTAGTGATACTAAACTACCTGTTACTTATAATTAAAAAGCAAGAGCAGCCCTGGTCATTTTTGCTCAGTGGTTAGAGCATCAGCCTAGGGACCAGAGTGGGTTCAATTCTGGTCAAGGGCACGTACTTCGGTTGTGGTTCTGTCCCTGGCCCTGGTCAGGGTCGTGAGGGGGGCAACCAATCGATGTCTCTCTCTCTCTCTCACATCAATGTCTGTCTGTCTGTCTGTCTCTCTCCCCCTCCCCCTCCCCCTCCCCCTCCCACTCTCTGAAGATAAATGGAAAAATATCCTTGGGTGAGGATTTTTTTAAAAAAAGCAAGAGTAGAAGCAATTTTAAAACACAAGCAATTCAATCCCAGTAATACACTGGTAATTCCAACTGCACTTTCATGTACCTGTGTGTGCAGCAGCTGTGCAGCATGCGCAGGGTTAGCATCCAGACTTCTTAGAACTGGCATCTACAGCAAACCCAGTACTGTGTACTCACCACACCCAATTCAGTTTCCTCATTGTCACGGCTAAACCGTATTTAACTGGCTTTGCTGAGGTTGGGATATGACTGAGCTCTGGCCAATGGGACATATGGGGAGCAATGCACACCACGGCCAGGCCTGGCACATAAAGATGTCCCACATGTGATCCTCCACTCTGTCCCTGCTGCATGACCTTGGAGGCCATGTATTAAATGGAGGCATCACCAGAAGGAAGGAGCCTGGCTCCTGAATTCCTGCACGAAGCAAAGCACCCACTTCTCTCATCCCATCTCAGTGAATTAGGTTGTGACAACAATGAACAATCAACATCTACTATGATAAGCCACTGACATCTGGGGTTGTTTATTATAGTTGATAACCTATCCAACTAATACAAAGTTCTTAGTAGACTCCAGAAATGTGCTATTTAAGGTATGAATATTAAATTTTAATAGTCCTTAAAAACTCACTTAGGTTTTTTTAAAATATGTTTTTATTGACTTTTTAGAGAGAGAGGAAGGGAGAGAGGTAGAAACATCAATGTGAGAGAGAAACATCAATCAGCTGCCTCCTGCACGCCCTGCACTGGGGATGAAGCCTGCAACCCAGGCATGTGCCCTGACCAGGAATCGAACCGAGACTTCTCAGTCCTTGGGACGACGCTCAATGCACTAAGCCACACTGGCCGGGCAACACTGAGGTTTTTAATAATGCTTTGCTATACATAAAAATGCACACATCTGCCTTTATGGATCTGCTCTCGGTCTATCAGAAAGACCTGCACAGTCCACTCTGAGCGGAAGCAGGAGACTAAGGGAATGGAAGCATCCTTTTAGGAAATTGGCCTGTTCTATTGTGTTCAGTTATTCAAAACTGTTTTTCTAGCACCTACTGCCTACCAAGCATCATTCCACAGCTTAAGGGCAGAAAGATGAATGAAATAAAGGTGCTGCCCTCAAGTCGTTCATGGGGTGGGAGGAACAGTGACGGGTCTGTCAGTGAACAATGTGATGCCATGCAAGTAAGACGTGTAAGAAAATGCTGATCACCTCCCCTACAAGGAAGAGGGTCCTGGAACAGGACGGAGGCTGAGAACTAGCCGCCTCGGGGAAAAGTGTTTCAAAGAGCCCTGTTCGCTGCTGAAGTAACCCGATGAAAAGCCTACCTCATTTCCTGTATCAGTTTTATGCAAGACTATGGGATCTATTCCAGGAACAGAAGCAAAATGCAGTATTTTTGTGATTTACAAGGTGATTTCCTCAGGTGGATTTTACTGACACTAAGAAATAGCAACTCGAACTTCTAAGAAAGCGTTCCTCAGTGCCTTAAACATTTCTGGCATAAAGAAACTTCTCCAGTTGTAACAGCACACATTTCTCACTCGGGGTAATAACAGAGTTCTCGTGCACCTGCTGTCACAGGGGAGCCAGCTGATTCACAAAGAACAAAATCCAGTTCCGCAACTACATAGCTTCCCTTCACTTTGTCCAGCATTGCCACCAACGTCGGCCACAAGAGTCAGGGAAACTCTGTAGAGATCTATTTAGCACTACTGGAAAAAACAGTTCACCGTGTGTCCTAGGGCTGTGAGTCTCTAGCTTCAAAAGTGCATTTGGTTCAGATGCTAACGTGAGAAGTCTAAAATGTCACAACTGAGGGATAACGGGATGATAAACAGGGACATGCTGTTACGCGAAGACAGAACTACCTCCACCAAATCCTCCCAAATTCCACTCAAGGTAGAGCTGCTTTCCAAACACTGAACCGCACGCCCTTCCTACATCTGTTTATAGTCGATCTTGTTCATTAGAGCTACTTTATTGCAAGTGTTTTAAATTTGCCACAAAGATGGTTTATGACACAAAAGGAAAGAGTAACTTTCTAGGAATCTACAAATGTTTCTGTCCTCACTTCTGGCATCTCACAGAATGTGAAGATGAAAGAATATAAAAAAGAGAAAGTCTTAAGATTTTAAAATCTATTGTTTTTTACATGCTTCCTTGCAATCATTTTATACATATAACCTGAAACAGATCTAATTTTGACTGAAAATACATTAATACTGAACCCAAAACAAAGCCTGTATCTGGCAAAATGCCACACTCACTTTTAAAACCGATGGCAGTCCACGTAAATAGCCCAAACACAGGACAATTAAAGGTTTGAGGATACCATTTTTTCCATATACTGCCATAATTTAAAAACATTATTTTCCTACCATTTCCCATTTTCTTGTTTTTCTTTGACTCTAAAATAATATATGCCTAGCCAGTGTGGCTCATTGGTTGAACATCAATCCATGCACCAAAAGGCCACCAGTTCGATCCCCAGTCAGGGCATGTGCCCAGGTGTGGGCCCGATCCCCAGTGGGGGGGCATGCAGGAGGCGGCCAATCAATATTCTCTCTCATCGATGTTTCTCTCTCTCTCTCTCCCCCTCTCCCTTCCTCTCTCTAAAATCAATAATGAAAAGAAATTTTTTAAATAAAATAATATAAATTACCCAATCTGTAAGTTATCTTCAACAATCTTCTGCAAAAAAAGTTCAGTAAAGGAGGGAAAAGCGAATGGATTTCTATTTACCCCTGTAATTTAGGACTTAATGCAATATGTAAAGTACACCACGTAAAATGCCAAAATAAAATATTTGAGAATAGCATATCAAAACTATGGACTCCTTAATAAAATATTAATGTATTTCTTTGGAGTATAGTCTATAAAGAAAACTGACCAATACTTTCTAAAGCCACAGGAAATACCCATGTATTGCTAAAAGAAAACAAAAGAAATACACACTTCCTTCTGAAGGGCTTAAATGCATGTTCTAATGAGTCATTACATTATAAGAGGGTGGGAAAGCACAGTCTAAAGGGTGACTGTTAATACTGTAGTTTATGTTCATAGTAGGACAAAGCAAAGAACTGGTTTTAAATAAAATATGACATGACAGCATGTAAAACATAACAGCAGCCATCATTTATGGGTTCCCTATTTGGGGCCTGGCTTTGTACCTTGTACTTTATCACTTATCATCACACAGTCCCACCAAGTAGGAATTATTTTTCTGCTTCAAAGGTGGAGATGCTGAGATTTACAGAGGTTGCAGAGCTACAGAGCTAGGACTCCCACTCAGGTCTGTATACATTATTGCCTTGAGGAAAAACATCTATATTACACGGCAAATATTCTACCATGCAATTCTATGATCACTGTTTAAGATTGCAATAAATTCATCTTATTCCTTGTCTGAGGTTTCCTTAATTGGGTATCCCATCATTCACTTCTGCAAAATCCATAATCTTAAATGAATACAGTTCCAACTTGAACTAAGGAATAAGAAAAATATCATTATATACATAACTGAGAACTCAGATTTTGAAAATCTAATCTTTATCATGATAATGACTATTTCTATGATTATAAATAATTATATAGATATTCTTTGATGTATTTATAATACCCACAAGGGTCCCTGAATCCCAATAAACATTCACAAATAAAACTACTTCTACACAGCTATTTGATGAGGACAGTTAACACCTATTAAGAAAACCATTAATACCTAAGCCAGTATTTCTTAAAGAATAGCCCATGGGCTGCTATTGGTCCACTAATTCTCTCCAGATAGCCCACAAACTAATTCCTGGAAAATAATATATAGAAACACAGCCCTGGCCAGTTTGGCTCAGCAGTTAGAGCATTGGCCCATGGACCAGAGAATCCCGGGTTCAGTTTCCGCTAAGGGCACGTACCTCAGTTGCAGTTCGTCCCCGGCCCCAGTTGGGGTTGTGTGGGTGGCAACTAGTTGATGTCTCTCTCTCACATCGATGTTTCTCTCTCTCTTCCTCCCTCTCACCCTCCCGCTCTATCTGAAGATAAATGCAAAAATGTCCTCAGGTGAGGATAAAAAAATAAAAATATAGAAATAGAACATATCACCTAAATTTCTGGCTTGAATTAACACCCACTGGTGATTCACTCTAATCATGTTGTGCTCTCTGTTAAGTTTTGGTGAGTTTCTGGCTCACCAAATAGACTAGGGTAGAAATAGACTAGGGTAAAGATTAAGAATCTTTCATCATTGTAAGATAAAAAGTTCAAATCCAAAGATGTATGCAACATTGTCTGACTCCATAATTAATCATAAAAATAAGAAAAAAATTTTTTCAACTAAAATAAAAGGAATTTAGAATATTCAAGTATTTTTAAAAGAGATATTTGATACTTTCAAAATAGCACAACTTCCACATGTTAAGCTTACCTTGAAGATGGCATTATATTTGAGGCCCTGAATTTTGCTGTAAACGGATTAGTTGACTCATAATCAAAATAGTCCTGACGATTTTCGCTAAATGCATTAGGTGATTTCAAGTCACAAGGGCTGTCGGCTGCCCCATTGTTGAGTTTATCAGATCTTCTGCTATCTTTTTTCCCAGTCACTCTTTCAAACAGGCTAACTTTCTCCCTTTTCTCTCTTTTATTTTCTTTTCTTACTTCAATTGGTTTTGAAAATAAAGTCATGCTGCTGTCCCAGGATTCACTGCTTTCTTCAAACGGATTTTTCTTCCTTGGCAGTGTTGCAAATTTTTGGGGTAATGAAGCAGTCACATTTGTAAATGGGTCATTTTGCCTTCCGAAAGATGACTCGCCTTCATCTGCACTGCGGTCAGGTTGGTTCATTTTAGAAGTATCAAAGCTTAATGTTCTCCTGTGTGGAGATTTGAGACTTCCTGCAAACAATTTTGTAGTTAGTACATAGTCAGTGACATGTTACATCACACTATCTGACACATTCTGTGTGCATACTGCTGCTTTCAGAATGAGAGCAATTAGCTATTTAAAGGTTTAACCTTTAAAATAATCAAAGAAAACAATCCTAAAATGCTATGGTACAGCAGTCTGAAGTGTGTAGGCTAATAATAATTAGTAGATTGCGAGACAAGCAGTAATTCACTCAGCTCAGAAAGAAACCACCACGTAAACTATAATGTCAAAACTAGAGATTCTGCTTGGTATCATAATGCCATAAATTCTCAAAGACTTTTTTCATCATTAGCATTTAATTTACTTTAAGTCTGAAAATAGGTTTTTTTCTAAGAACTTTCTGATTAAATGGAATATTCATTTATGCTTCAGACTTTCCAGACAGGAGAAACAGCAGTGAAAAATGAAGCCAGGTCCTGGCCCCGTAGCTCAGTTGGTTAGAGCGTCGTCCTGACAGTCCAAGGTTGTGGGCTCCATCCCCAGCCAGGGCACATACAAGAATCAACCAATGAATGCATAAATAAGGGAAGAAACAAATCAATGTTTCTCTGTCTCTCTCTCTCTCTTTTTCTTTCTCCCCCCACCTCTCAATCAATAAATAAAAAAATTATTACAAAACAAATGAAGCGAGGCCATAAAAAAATGACCAGGACTCATTTTTATTATCGTCTAATAATATAATACAATACTAAATGCAGACAGGCTCTGCCTTTAATAAACATCAATTTTGAGGACAGCAGGTACTAGATAAATATTTGATCACTAAATTTAGAAACTTATACCAAGAAATTGTAATTTTATTTTCTAATTTTAGAAGTTAAACTTTAAAAAATTAAAAAGGTGTTTCAGGTCACTAAGGGTACAATTAGGAAGAATGTGTCACTTACCACTTTCTGGAACCGCTCCAAAGGAATCTATCTGGCGTCCGAGAAGATGTGTTTGACCAATGGTGCCAGACTTCAGTTTCTCAGAAGATACGTGGGCCCCAGTTAAATCAGACATTGAATGCGCTGAAGAGAGTCGCTGAGGACCCAAAAGGAAAGGCTTTTTCGGTTTAGATTTCATCTGTATTTCACCACTTGAATATTCAGAATTGGCATCCGTCATGTGAGAACTTGGAATGATTGCAGAAGATGTATCAGAAAATGTCCCATCGTTTTTTCTACCTTTCATCTTATCTTTCAGTTTTGCAAAAGGAGATCTTGTTTTGTCCTTCATTGATAAGTCAAACATACTTGCTGTCATATTGTTCCTCATGAACTGAATACTGACCTTTAGCTCACCCCTGTTTTTGGCTCTTTTTCCTTGTTTGGATTCTAATCTAAACCACCTTAAAGAGAAGGGAAAAGGGGGTTGTAACATGTAATGAAGAGAGGATATCAAGTGTTACTATATACAAATACCTTCTTAGGAAAAGCTAGTTACACGAAGGCCCTCTATGCAATGGAGGAGAATCTGTCGGCCAGAGAGCTACCGGTTTTACTCACTGCTGCATTTTTTTAAAACTTACCACTGTCTCTGGGATGTGACATATACTGAAGAAACCAGTCTTCAGTCCATTTGAAAAAGTTTCCAGATAACCTGTCTTTCATGATTTGAAAGCATTCACGTCAAAAATTCTTACCAATGAGAACTGTTATGTTTCCATCTGGGATGAGTGTTGCTAAGGACCTAAACACATTTTTTAAAGTTAAAAGACACTGAGGTACCGACTCTAAAAGAATTCATTGATACAAACTTTTTCAGGGTACTATAAAATGATAAATGGCCACATTTTAAATAAAGTAATAAATATCTAGCTTCATCCTTAAATTTCCTCCATAAAACTATTAAAGAATTTTGTTAATATTGGAGACCACTAGACAGAGTTTGCATATGATGTAATTTAGATTAATATAAAATGGGTCAAAGTTTTTCCTGAATAAAAAATGCAAAAAGAATAAAATGCAGTAAGTGACAAACAGTAAGAAATCTTGTAGTTTCTGAAGAAAAAAGAAAGCTTCAATGCTTCCTGTTAGAATCTTTGTTTCATTTACTACTACTACTGTGAATAAAAATTATTTTAATTGAAGCCAAATTTTATGCTTTTAGTCTCTTCTCTGTATGACATTGCCCATTGTTAAGTGATGTATAAGAAACAAAGTTTGTTTTGCTTTTGTTCATAGTATTTTTATTCATGAGAAAGTCTACAGTTGTCAGTGTCACATGTGGTCATTCTATAGGGAAAATAGCCAAAAAACTGCAAAATCAAGCCTAAAAGACAGTTTCTCCAATGTTTTCGGTTAACAATGAAGCCTAATATCCATTCCTGCAGACGGGTTATTATTTAAATACAGCTCTAATCAAGTGTAACAAATTTTCTTAGCTACAAAGGAACTCTGATCTAATTTTATATTAGTTCTTTCCCTCATTGTTACCAACAGGATATACCAGAAGAAAGTACATTTACTATATACATCTCATGGAAAACTGGTTCACAGGCCCTTTCAGGCAGAAGAGAAAACAGGAACATAACCTATATGCCAGCTACATCTTAGCAAGTACCATGCAAGAGAAATATTTTCTTAATTAACTTGAACGACTCAATCAGTCAAGATCCAACTGCATCAAAACAAGCAACTTTTAAAATAAAAGAGCATTTTATAATAGAAGGCATTAACCTGATACCCTAAACTGAGAAAATCCCTTATCTGAGGCAAATGGTAAAATCTGAAGATGCAGTAAACACTGTGAAATAGAATCTGAAACACAAACTTGAGCACTCGAAAGGCTTGGAAATGAAACAAGGTTATATACCCAGTTGTTAACTTAGAGTTTTGGAAAAGAGAATCATTTTCAATGGGGGAGAAATACTTCTGATGAGTGGTACTACAGAAACACTCTGAAACATCTCAGGCTTTACTGAAAATAGATGAATATACTTTGTAAGAAATGTACCAGAAAAAAAACACAAAAAACAAAAAACCCAAGCATGTAGGAGTTCCACGTGTGTAACAAATAAAAGCAAATTGAGAACAAAAAAACACAATTACTTAATAAATGAAAGGCAGTGAAGGTGATCAAAATTCATAGAATTTTACAAATAAAACCAATAAATCATCTACTTCAACATCCTTATTTCAGAGATGAGGAAAATGAAGCACAGCGAATATAAGTAACTTCCCATGTCAGGTTAAAGCCAATAAAGAAAATACCCAAAACTGATGAATAATATCTGCATGAAAACAGAAGCTCTTCCATATCTGATGAACCATACATGTTAATAAGATTAAACATAGCCTGTCATACGTTACAGGACACTGTATTTAATCAGGAGACTGGCAGCCAGAGAAGAAGGCAATGCCTGTTCTCTACTGTTAAGAGTGTAAGCTTCATGAAGGCAGCTTGCCTTGCACTGAATAAATGTTAACTTAATTATTTCGAGAACTGTATTCCTAAAACAACCAAGCTATAATACACTGTGTGTACCTGTGTGTGTGTGTTGCCTTGTTCTTTATTTGTTTGTTTTGGGTAGGAAATACTAAAGACTTAGATGAGCTTTAAAGAATAAAGCAAGTCAGTGCTTTGAATACAATCTGTAAACACAGTATTTTCCAGTCTCCTCCCATCCCCTCCCCAAAATACTACAAAGCACTTTGAATCTACTAATTTAAAATATCGCCATGACAGATAACTTTTAGCTGCTTTGTTTTGAAAGTGACATAACAGGAAAGTCTTAATGAGACCTCCAAAAATTGTCCCAGAGATAAAACTTGTTTTCCCAGGCTTCAAAAAGATAAAATGAAGACATAGCATTTGGGGCTTAGTGGATTAATGCTGATTTTTTTTCACCTCTTGAGTACTGGATTTAAACTGTATATGGCCTCTGTTCAATTTTTAGTGGGCACAGGTCCATGTTCAAAAACCACCACACATGTGGGAACTATTCCCAAGCAATTGGTGCTGTGTGGTCAGAAACGGGACAAGATTGGCAGTAAGGGTGCCAGAGGCCAGGACGCAGGTGCACGGCAGAGGCAGCACAAAAGTCCTAAACTCGGCATGTGTTTGAGTCATACCTCACTCTAGGGACTCTGATTGTTATTACTTTTCATGAGCATTAAAAAAAAAAAGTCAACATCACCCACTTCTGTTGTAAAAAAAGAATCAATAGATATTACACAACAGCATGAACAATTTTACCATTCTATTATTAAACACTGTATTATTTCCTTAAATCTCATGCCAGAACCAACCCAGACACCCATGAAAATGGGAGATACAGAAGTTCTCTTTCCCTGCTCCATTCAAAGTGTGCAGGCTCAGGCGCCTTCCCCCCACCACCTCCTTTAAAAAAAAAAGGGGGGGGGGGTATTTAATTTCAATATATAAAAATAAGTAATAGTTTTAGCTGTCACACTTCTTTGCCTATCATGACACAACTGAAGACAAGCTGTAAATACCTGTCTTCAGTGTCAAGAGTAAAAAGTGTCACACCCAGGAATTTCATGGGACTTCTAACTCAGCTGGTAACCTTCATCGTTCATACCAGTTTTCTAAAAAGCACTTGGGAATATGCTGACAAGGTTCAGTAATGTGCAGAATATTAAATATCTTTCTTGCAATACACCAGTGGCTCAAGTCTGTCTCTTACTGTGCCACATGTACAGCTGTGCTGCAAAAGGAAACTATTAAATATATTAAAAAACTAGAAATATTACCAATAAAGATACCTCATCAAATATGTAGTCCCTATTTATCCACAAAGAAAGAAAATGGTAGGGATTTAATAACAGGAAAATCACTTTGAATGCAATAACATCGCAAGCCCTGTTGATAACATTTTAAAGCATTTCCCCGAAAAAAGTTCTAACCAATTTTATAGTAGCCAATAGAGAATTTCTGTAGGGAGACTACAATATTACTGTTTACAGCCAAGTGTATTATAATTGTGATGTTGCCAAAAATAAGGAGTAAAACAAGGAGAAACTTTAAAAGCTCATTTCATCCTCAGAATCACTGGGCTCAAAGTTGGGCCTACTTTCACTTGGAAAAGTTACATTTCAGGAAAGCCTGTAATACACCACTCATTCACAGCAAAAGTATTGTTGATACAGTATGAAATATGAAGTTACAATACACTTAAAAGTTTACATTCAAAACACTCTGAATATTACATAGTGTAATCCAAAATTGGTAATCTGGAACAAATTATTTTATAATTATCCATTTTCAATTTAATTTGATAAACTCCTCAGAGGAAACTAAATGCTATTTTGTAAGTATCAACAGTTTTATTAAAATCATTGATATATATTCAACTTTACACTTTTTAAAACCCTTTTCTCTATTTTCATCTCTTAAACTAGTCTAAATATTTACCATTGTTTGTCTTGCATTCCTAGTGTTTCTTATCTCTCTACCCTTTACCCTACACATTAAATCTTAGGTAAAGATCTGATGGAAAACTTTTTTAAAAAAATAAAAATTAAAACTCCAATCAATAGAAGCTTGCAAAAAGATACACATAGAAAAGAACAAGAGGCGGTTGCTTTAAAAAATATCAGAAATTAACATGACATCAAGAAAATTATCACTATAAAAAAGTTTCTAAAAGGGTAAATTTCAGTTATGACTGAAATAAACAGCAAAGCTATTTTGGAAATTTCAATTCCTCTTACAAATTCATTCTATATTTTTGTCTCACTAATTCCATCAATTATAATGTTCTTTCTGACTAGAAAAGTTATGTTTTAGGAAGGGGTGAGTAGACCTATGTCTGAAAACATAACTGTTTTTCAATTTAAAGCATAACATGCTAGTGTTAACTTATAGTATGGTTTTTAAAATTAGAATATATACCCTAAGATCGAAAGTCATATTTACAAAGCCATGTTTTCATTGAAGATGTCAATGCATCATTTCAACACAAGAATGTAATCACTGTCTCCAGTCTGACAACATTTAATATGGTCGAAACACAGGGGCTTTGCAGAACTAATTCTGAAGTAATGCACCAGCTCCAATATATTGTCAATTCAAAGGAAAACAGTGTGTTCAAAGTTGAGGATGTTTGCACATACTTTTAAAACTTTTTCTCTTTGAACAGCTTTAGACTCCATCAAGATGGACTTACCATGAAAAATGGTTGGGCTCAAATGAAGGCCATTGTGTTTATAAATGTTGAAATAACATACTGAATTCTAACTTGGATCATTTATCTTTTAACAGCTTCAGAGTTCAACATACATATATGATATTATATTGGCAGATTTAGTTTCCTGCTATTCCATTTCCTGGAAAACTGTTATGTTTAAAGACAACGATTTACACATATGTTGTCTTAGTTGGTCAACACTGTGATCCAGTCTTCTTATAAGTTGTGAAACAGTGCTAATTTACTTAAAAATCCAGTGCAAAATATTCAATTATTTAAGATGAATACCTCAAACAAATGAGAGTAAGGAACCACGAAAGACTCCATTTTTAATAAATGTTGCTTCACAAGGGCTACTTCTACTTCAAATTCATGCAACTATGGTGCTTAAAACTGGGTCATATTTTAGTTCAAAAACCAACGCCCCAGATATACAAATTAATTTCCAAGAAGCAGAAAATCCATTAATAAGATAGTTAAGCTCCCCCAAATTCAAAATAAATTACATAACTTACTCTGTTTTCCTTCTTTGTTTGTCCTCAAAGATGTCATTGAGATTGATTGCCACCTGCCCTAAAAACTTATCCAGCCCCACGAGGGACCTGTGCATGACTATAAGGAAAAGGATGTACTTCTCTGGGTTTCCCTGCATGAGCAAGCCAGGTAGCTCAAAGGAGGCCTCTTCCTTCCAGACTGGCTCAAGGGTTTTCTCGGCTACAGAGGTGGAGTACTTCTCCTTGCCCAGCTGAATGATCGTGTATGTGTCATTGGTGCCACTTTTGCCTTTTGGCTTCAGATCTTTGGCTTGGAGCACTGTGACCTGCACGTGGGTGGGAAACCACTTCTGGGCTTGCTCGGACAGCATCATTCTGTCCTGCTTCTCGGCACCCAGTTCCCCAGCGCAGGCGGTGCCCCTCCCGAGGGAGCGCCCTGTTCGCTACCACTGCATCCTAAGGGCACTTAACGGAGACGGGCCACTCGCAGGCCCAACTTCCCAGGCTGATGTCAGAGGGCCTCGCCGGGGAGCCCGGGGGCGCGGCTGCTCGGGGGTCCCCTTTCCTCACAGGCACTGGGGCCCACCATCACCTGGCCGCGCCGCCGGCCCCGCGCTCGCGTCCGCACCTTCCCGCTCGCTCGGCCGGCCCCAGGGGCGAGCCCGCGGCCAAGGCGGCGGCTCCGGGGCCTGCGGGCAGGTGAGGCCTGGCCGCCAGGGCCGGGCGGAGGGCTGCGGAGCTGGGAGGGCGCCCCCGCCCTGCAGACCGGAGCTCGTCCGCCCAAATCCGCAGCCCCAGCCCCCAGCCCCGCGCCTCGTGGCAGGGCCGCCTCGCCCCTCCGGCGCTCCCGCTGCCCCGCGCTCGCCCGCGGGCCCAGCCCGGCTCCTCCTCCCGACCCCGGTAATACGAACCGCCAGCGGCTCGCGGCCTCGCTCCCTCTCGCCAACCTCCCCCTCCTCCTCCCCTCGCCTCGGCTCCTCCTCCCGGGCGGGGCGGGGCGGTCGCCGAGGGCTGGAGTGGGACCTGGGGCAGGGGATGCGCCGCCGGCCCGGCGGGCCTCGGGCTGCAGGGCGGCGGGCACGGGGCTCGCCTGGCCGGGCCGGCAGCTCCTAGCACCGGGCAGGCGGTGGCGGCGGCACTTCCGGGTTGCCCTTCTCCATGTTGCTCTGGGAACGCGACGGGGCGGAGCCGGGCGGGGCCGCTGGGTCAGGGGTCAGCGCCTCCCTGGTTGCCATGGAGACCAAGGGCGCGCGCAACACGAACTCCTTTCCCGGGCTGGATGCTTGGTGGATGGGTTCCGCCGCTGCTCCGGGCTGGCCCGGCGCTGGGCTCTGGGGACGTGGGGTCCTACACCGGCTGGAGGCACCGCTCCTGGGAGGTGGCAGTAAAGCCCCGGGCCTGCCCGATCTGGAGAGAGACCCGATTTCAATCTTTGCAAGTTGTCTTTGCTGTATCCTAGATGCCCTGTGCCTGGCACAGAGCGGGCATTCCAGAAACTGTGATGGAATGCAGTCAGTCCCCTTCAGTGACTGAAAACAGTTTTCTCAAACCCTTATCCCCTCTTCTTTTGGAAAAAGAGAAGGCTGTTAATTGACTGGAATGACACCCCCTTCCCCCAACACACACACACACACACACACACACACACACACAAGGGAGAGAAGGAAACAGGTAAGATTCCAAAATAAACACAGGGATTAATAAAGATAGCAGGAGGCACTGGGTTGGAGTCATAGACCTGTTTGGACACCAAGTCGGCCACCATCAGTCTCTGTCCCCTTGGTCAAGTCACTTTACCTCCTGAGACTGTTTCCTTATGGCTAAGAAAACTCAAGTCTAAGACTTCATTGCGACTCTGTGGACTCAATGTCAAAAGGACCCTTGGGACACTAGCAGTCTGGTAGACTACCCGACTCCAGAAGCCAAGCCCAGAGACCATTCTAGTCATATATCATCAACTCGGAGAAGCAAACAGCCTCCTTCACCAAAGGCACCTACAATTGCCTTAGCTGCTCCTGAGGGCAGGCCTGGTGGCCCCTGGTGCTGTTGGAACGAAGGGCTTTGTGACAGAGAAGAAAATGGGGCTATGTTAACACTGCTTTTTCCACGCTGGCCTGATCTAGTGGGGAAAGGATGGGTAATGGCTGGTAAGTCAGGAAGGAGCCTTGCTTGATGTCCTGGCTCTGCCAGAGATTCAGTGCATAGCTCGTGAAGGGCACTTAGCTTCCTGAGGCAAGGAATTGAGGCTCTGGGAGCTTCCATTCCCTTGTCCATAAATTATAGATGAAATAGCTATTATAGAGTTGGGAGAAGTACCCTGAGATCATGTATGTTTCCTAGCATAGCTTGGCACATAGTTCTAAATCTCCCTTTGCCCCTCTATTTCTCAAGTGTGAGAGACTTTTTTATACTGCCTTTATTGTTTTTATTTCCATTCATGTCTTATTTTCCCAAAGAAATTCTAAGTTCTTTAGATTGCCTTATGTATCCTGGATCATCACTTCACAGAGGCTAGCATGCAGTAGGCACTCAATTCATCAAATGACGGTACTTTTTCTTTCTTTTTATGACTAATTTTGTGAGGAACACAATATGATAGTGTACACTTTCCAACATAAAGAGGCCATAAAAGTGTAAGGTAGTGTGCTTATTTTCAGGCATGGTTTAAAACTTTTCCATTTGAGAAAAACATTATGTTCTCCATGTTTCTTTAGTATCCCCATGTTGACAGATTACTAGCTGCGGCACTTAAAACTAAGAGTCTTTTCATTAAATATTTTTTTGAATGGAGGTATGTAAGGGCCCAGTCTGTATACAGGGTGGGGCAAAAGTAGGTTTACAGTTGTTCATGTGGAAAATAATACAATAATTAATAAATAATAATACAAGAATAAACTCTGTGTTTTGTGTACTCACGACTATAAACCTACTTTTGCCACACCCTATGTTTGTGACAGAAAGCAACCAGAGTTCAAAAACCTTAGGGGTAGAGGGATAACATTATACATTCTTTAAATCTTATGGAAGGCAGATACTTCCTTGACTTTAAAGGTCAACACCACAGATCTCCAAGACCACCCAGATTCCAGCACATTCTTTCAGGGAGCCCCTGACACTTGCTAGTGTCTATAGATTTCCTTTCATTGATTGGAAACTCCAATTTTGTTAGTGCTGCTCACACAGTGGCATGGTGTGAGTTCTGCATGAAATAGGCACTCCAAAAACAGACAACGGAATAATTTACTATCAAGGTCCTCAGGAAATCAAACTGCAGGTGAATCTTGAATAACCCTGAGCCAGACATCACCTAGAATGAAAAGACCTGGTTATAGGCCATTTTAATGAAAGTTTACTATAAAGCGTACAAAAAGAGGCAGAATTTTTCATCTCCAAGAGGCAGTGCATGAAAAGGTTTATGTATGGAAAACAGAACAAAATCATCGTACTGTGAATATAGCATCTGGATCCCAAAGTGGGCAGTTGTCAAATTTAATGAAAAATATTCTTTAGGAATTTTTAATTTTTTGAGAATGCATTGGAATAGTCAATAGTGGAATTTCAACCAGGAATCCCATAGAGAAATCATTTGATACCTGAAACTTACAAAAACAAAATAAGCATCATGAAAACAAATTTAGTTAAATTGAAAATTGTTATAAATTACATTTTCTAAGTCTTCATGTCTCTATTAAAGGTTGTAATTAAGTAAATAATAGGCAATTAGTTATAATAGTGGATGTGTGTTTCTAAAGAGCTCAAATTGTTTGGTAAGCTTTATTAATGACTGTAAACTTGTTTACAAGTATCATTTCATTCATCTCTGAAATATAGCCATCTCTAGGGTAGAGGTTGGCAGGGGTAGCTCACAGCAAAGCAGTAACACACTACAACACAATTTAGGTAAACTCAAGTCAAGAGCTAAACAATTGGAATTAGTAACATCTCTTCCTGTAACACCTGAATTTCTTTTGAGTTTTCCTAAAACCTGGCTAAAGCCAAAATCATTTAGTTATTACTGTCTGGCAAGATCAGGAGTTTTGACTTAATGTTTGTAAGCCAGAAAAAGAAAATAGTGTATTTTTGCCCTGGGGAAGCAAATAAACAACAACAAAAGAGCCAAATAGACTTCAGGGTTGTATATTAAAAATGAAGTGATTTCCTAGAAGAAAGTGTTTTGTTTTTGTTTTTGTTTTTGATTATTTGTATGAGAGAGTAAAAACAGGTCAGTTGAGTCAAATATAGCATTAGGTCATAGTGAAAAATAATGGCAATTATGTAAGATCTGGGATCAAAGTGGTTCTTCAAAAATGTTTATTGTCATACAGTTTTAAAAATTCTTTTTACCTATCTTAAGACATGTATGGACAATCATTTTAGAAAAGAAGAAAGATTGCATACATAAGGACAACAAGCCAGAATCGAAGACAGTCACTTTTTATTATTTTATGACTAATGATATGTCCAGAAATGTTCGCTATAATTCTAAATTCAAGGGCTTGGGGAAATAATACATCTTAAAGGAGGAAAATGCTGAAATTCCTAACTTTGAACAGTTACAATGCCTGCTGCAATAAACAAGAACAATTTGACCAGAAAGTAAAAATAATCAATATTCTCTAAGAGTGGAGGATTTCACAGATGAAAATATTTACTAAGTGTTGCGCCTTTCGGTCAAGTCCCATAAGGAGACTTATTCCAAGCACTGTGAAAGAACTTTTCCCTTTGAACATCAGCATCTCTAAAATCGCCACTTGGAAATATATTGTAGGACCATTATGAAGTCTTAGTGTTTAAATAACCCACTGGGTTAAGACTATTAATGCTCCCATGTACGATATTAATTATTTTCCAGTTGGAGGTTCAGAAATATAAGGGCAGCAGGAAGCTTTCCCAAAGTATCATTACAATCTTCAAACTTCAGATACACACACACACACACACACACACACACACACACACACACACTTTAAATACATATACGACTCTATTTATTCATTTATTTTTAATCCTCACCTGAGGGCATTTCTGCATTTATCTTCAGATAGAGTGGGGGGGGGGAGAAACATCAATGCAAGAGAGACACATCGACTGGTTGCCACCCTCATAACCCCTGGGGACGAACCACACCGAGGCACGTGCCCTTAGCGGGAACCGAACCCAGGACTCTCTGGTCCACAGGCCGACGCTCTAATCGCTAAGCCAAACCGGCCAGGGCACGACTCAAATATATTTAAAATTTATACACATATACATATGGCAAAACTCCAGTGTTATGCTGGAAATACGTCCATAGACAGATTAATCTCCACACAACCAGTTAGAAGTAAAAATGGTATTTGGCAGCTTGATTTGAAATTATAATTGCAATAAACTAGTATTTGGGGGGTTTTGGTGATTGTCTTGTTTTCACCACTGGGCTGATTAATTTGTCTTGTGGGACTAGGCCATGTATGGACACAGTTTGCAATGCATGAGCTGTATGATGTGAAATACTATAAAGAGCTCTGGGCAGCAGCCTGGGACTTAATCCCAAGTCTGCCTATTACTAGCTACAT